GGAGGAGTCGGAGTTGGGGGTTGCGAGGGTTTGGGGGTGGGGGTAGTCAGTGACATGTTGCATGTGGCTGGCATGTTGCAGAGCATATCCAGCAGATCATGACCCTGGAGGAGTCTGTGCAGCACGTGGTCATGGCGGCTATCCAGGAGGTGAGGTGGGGTGGGGAGGGGACGGGATGGGACAGGGGATGGTGCCCCTCTCTCCCAACCTGCAGCCACCCTCCCAACCTGCCTTTAACCCTTTCTTTTCTGTAGCTTATGACCAGGGACTCATTAGACACCATGAGTCCTGAGATGTATGGGACCTTTGATAGCCAGGTACAGCTGGGAGTGGGGTAACTGGGGAGATGGGGGTGTGGGGGAGGAGCTTGAGAGATGATGAGGAGCAGCCAGTGGGGGGCAGGGGAAGTGAGGCCAGGTATGTGTGGGGGGAGTAATCACTCTGTGGCACAGTTTCCCCATCTGTTGCTCTGGCCAGGGATAGGGTCTGGTATCATGGAGACCTATAGTTGGGTTCTCCATTCCCCACTTTGGCATGGGGGTGATGCCCTCACACACCTCCCCCTCACCCTAGTCCCGCAGGTACTATTTCCTGAGTGAGGAACCTGATGAGCCTGATGTTCCCTGCAGGCGCTGCCGGGACCTGGAGCAGCAGGTGGGGCTGGGGGGTGGGGGGCTTGAGGGATTATCACCTCCCTGCCTGGGAGGGAGAACCCTGGGCATGGTGTGCTGGTATGCAGGGCTCTGCTTATCCCTGGACCCCGTCTCTGTGGCTTGGGGTTGGGGGAGTCCCCAAAAGTCCCAGCCAGGAGTCCCAGTAGGGCTGTGGGGTGCAAGGCACTGACTGTATAGAGAACCTTTTTCCTCCCCCCACCAGAGAAAGGTGGAGAGAGCTGTGGCTAGGAGGAGCGCAGGGAGGCCCTGGCTGGCCTGCCCACCCCCTCCCCCACTTTGCTCCCTGTAAGGTGGTAGTGCCCCCCCTGGAGCTGTGGTCCCCCCTGGTGGGCAGGTGAGTTGGTCTGAGCAGCCCCCTTGCATGAGCATGCCTCAGCCCACCACTAACACCAGCTGCTTCTATGCTGGGGGGGCATAGGCTGCAGGGGAGAGGGACTGGGGGGTATTGGGGGGCAGCTGGTGCCTTAACTCATTTAAGCTGCTCCTGCTTAGGCTCCCCCAGCTCCCTGCTGCCACTAACGCAGTGGGGGTGGGAGCTGAGAGTTGTGGGAGTGGGGGGCAGCTTGGACGCCTGGGTTCCCTGCCTGCCTTTGCCACTCCAGGGGATGCGGAGGCTGCAGTCCCTGCCCTGCTTCAGTTTCCCTACCTGGCAATGTCCAGCCCCTGGGACGCTGAGCTGGGGGGCCAGGCTGTGTCAGTACATCCAACCCCTCTTTTTTTCCCCCCCTCCCCACACAGGTGGCGGCACTGGCCGAGGCTGCACGGGGGCGGCATGAGACCGAGGTGGGGGGTGCAGCCCGGAACCTGCTGTTGCTGCAGGCACGGGTGGAGCAGCTGCAGGAGGAAAACTACAGGTGCTGCCCTGGGGCATGTGGGGGGCACCCTGTCGGGGGTGCAGCTTGTGCTTGGCCAAAGGGGCTGGGACCCAGGACTCCTGGGTTCTCTTCCTTGCTCTGAGATGTCTGCTTCCATCACATCTGGGTTCTCTGCCCCCACCCCAATCTGCTCTGAGAAAAAGTAGGGCTGGGAGTCTGGGTTCTGTCCCACTCTGTGAGGTGGGTGGGGGCCCTGGCCTCCTGGGTTCCATCCCACTCTGTAAGCAGAGGGAGGACCAGAGACCTCAAATGCCTAGGTCCCGTCTGACTCCTGGGATAGGGGTGGGGCCTGCAGCAGAGGGGCCCAGATGCCTGGGTCCCCACACTGTGCCCCGGGTGACCCTGCTCCCTTCCATAACCCCCTACCCCAGGCTGGAGAGCGGGCGTGAGGAGCTGCGGGGGCACTGCGAGGGGCTGCAGCGGGAACTTGGTGCTTTGCGGCAGCGCAGCCAGGAGCTTGGGGACCTGGCGAAAGAGGCCCAGGCCCTGCGGGACGAGATGGATATGCTCAGGTGAGGGAACACCCCCCTCTCCTCTGCCCCCCCCCCCCCCCCCCACCCCCCCCCCCCCCCTCGCCCCCCCCCCCCTCCCGACAACTGGACCCTCTAGTTTGGACAGAGGGGAGGGGGTCAGGGCCAGAGAACTGGGGACACCTGAGGTCTATGCTAGTCTGGTGAGGTTGGGAGCCCAACTGCCTGGGTTCTCTAGAAGTGGGGGTGCCTGTGGTGGGCGAGGAGTGTTGGGGAGGGGCCCTGGGAGCCTGGATGCCTGGGTTCCCTGGAAGACTGGGTCACTTGCTTTGGCAGCACATATACTAATATTGGGGAGGGGTAGGGATCCCAGGTGCCTGGGGTCTCCTAGAAAGGGATGGGGGTGGGAGGCTGGTGGGTTAGTACTGGTGGAGCAGGGCCTGGGATCCCAGACACCTGGGTTCTCTGGAAGGGGGGAGGGCAGCACAGGTATGACAGGGCAGTCACCTGGATGCCTGGGTTACCCCCTGCGCAGGGACTCATTAGAGCGTGCGGGCAGGCTGGAGGGGCTGCTGGGTTCATACCGGCGCCGGCTGGAAGCACTGGGGGAGCTGCGGCGTCAGGTGCGGCGTTTGGAGGAGCAAGATGCAGCCCATGCCCGCCGTGCTGCTGCCCTTGAGGACGAGCTGCGCCGCGCTGCCCCTGCCCGTGCCGAGCTTGACACTTGCCGTCGGCAGGTGGGTGGGGCCAGGGATGAGGCTAGTTGTGGAAGGGGAGGGCTATAGTCAAGGGGTGGAGCCATGTGGCTTGGGGAAGGGGTTAGTCATGGAGAGGAAGGGCTTTGTGGACTGGGGGCGGAGCTAGCCCGGGTGGGGGCATAGCTAGCTAGGTGGGGGGGTAGAGCTACCCAGTGATAGCATACCTGGGGGATGGGGCCAGCCAGTGGCATCAGGCAAGGAGGTGGGGCTTGCTGAACTAGGGGCTGTGCCTGGGGTCTCCCCCAGCTCTGGTGGGCCTCCCTGCCCTACTTGTGCCCTGCCCCCCCTGTTTTAAACCCCTTCCAGGTGCAGGAGCTGCAGGGACGGCAAGCGCAGGCAGCGTTGGAGGCTGAGAAATGGCAATTTGAGTGTGGTTCCCTGCGGGAGAAGCTGGAGGCACTGCTGAAGGACAAGGAGGTGGGGGCTGGGGTGGGGGAGATGGGCTGGGATGCATGAGTTTTATCCCTGGCTGGGGTGGGGGAGGGGCTAGGAGCCTGGGGAGTGGGGGCAGGACCCCTGGGGTCCTTTTATTGCTGGGGG